TCTATAAAATAATAATTTCTACATACATTATCAAATATATATTATTATAAAAATAAATCACTTCATAGTGAAATTGTGGATTTTTGAAATTATAATGACATAGAAATGATTACTAAAAAAAATAAATCAGCTCCACCGAGGGGGCCCCCTGGTGTCCTTGGGACCCTAAGCAACTACTTAGTTTGCTTATGCCTTGGGCCGGCCCTGGTCACACCTCTGTCACCAGGGCAGCTGAGGCTACGATTCAGTAGCTCAATGGGTGAAAGACTGAATGTTGTTGAAGCTTTTTGGTTCTCTGGACTTGATGGAGCTAAACAAGTCATTTACCACCAGTTAGCATAAAAACAGAGCTAATAAATAAATATGATTTCTGAATTACACAGTTTCATAGAACATTGTGTTCAACATGTTCAGTTTTAGTTTATAGTGAATAAATATTTATTTATTCTCTAGTTCTGATCCTCTTGCTGAGCTGCTCAACAGATCCAGGTTGGTGAACTTTGTTACATTAAAATGATTTTAAATATTCAAAGATGTTCTTTGGATTAAATGTTACATCTGAGAATTTAATTTAAAAAATGTATATAATTGTTCAATATGATGCTTTTTTGCTTTATTAAGAACTGAAATCATGATAATTGAATCTCTTCAGTCTCTCCAGCTGCTCTGACTGTGAGTCCCAGCAGATCTCAGTTCTTTGAAAGAGAAAAAGTTTCTCTGAGCTGCTCTGATGGAGGAACTGTGAGGAGAAACACAAGCAGAGAGACCAGGACTGAGTGTCAGAAAGGTGGATGGGGGAGATCAGCTGGTTCTACCTGTGAAATCACCTTGTTCCCATCAGACTCTGGCCTGTACTGGTGTGAGTCCATGTCTGGATCCTCCAGCAGCAGCAGCAGCATCCAGCTCTCTGTCTCTGTTGGTAAGATCAGCGGTCAGGGAGAGTCTCCATCCAGCAGGATCTCTGTGGAAGGTCAGAGGATGAAAGTATTGTTTAACTTTGGTTTTCAAAATAAATTGTTGTGCATTTATTTAATACTAAAACTTTATTTCAGAGAAACCATCAGCTGATTCTGGTCCTCCACCATCATCTTCACCTCCACCCTCTCCTTCACCTCCACCATCATCTTCCTCTTCCTCCCAGTCTCATCTCTTCATGCTCCTGACTCCACCATGTGTGATTTTTGGGTTTTACTCCCTGATTCTGGTTCTGCTGATTCAACTGTTGAGAAATGAACAGAGAAAACCTGAAGGTGAGACAAACTTTGTTCATCCATCCAGTTTTATCTAAAAACAATCATTACAGTAAATTTTAATCCTTTTATTTCTATTTTTTAACTAAAGAAGTCAAAAGAGAACATTACTAAAGGCTACAACAGACTTCATGCAGCGTTCTGAATCGGTTCTTACTGACGTGATGAAAATGATCATCTTGTTGTCAGAGAGTCGTCTGCCGAACTCGACACCAGACCCAGTCGACCCATTTCAGAGCCTCTGATTGGTCAGAAGTTAGTTGTGCTTCATGCAGAAATGCTCTCAGACAGCAATGTTGATATTTAATATTTTTATGAGACAGAGTTTTACACAGGAATCGTCCAACTTTATCAAAGAGCTAAATCTTTATTTATACTGAAGGACTTTAAAGTCTTTTAATAGAAACTCAGGATGTCGACACAGAGGGAACATCCAAGGCAGCTCAGGTCGGGTTTCCTCTCCAGAACCGCTGCAGAAATGAGAATCCACACAGATCAGGACTGCAACCCAAACGGGCCGATGTGACGATCTGAAGGAAACTGATCAGTCTGATGATGAAATGTTCACTAAGATGATTTTACTAGGACCTCAGTGACACAGCAGAGCTGAATGTCCACACTTCTAAAATGTTATTTACTTTTTTAATCAGTTGAAAATATCAGTTCAGGTGGATTCAGTAACTGAAAATAATAAAACTTAATCTAATGTAACCCAACATCTTTCTCTACTGCTGACCTGAAGGATCAACACACAGATCCAGTTTCTGATGGATCTGGATCTCAGATGAGATTCTTGTTCTGAGACTCAGTAAATTTCACCACCTGTTTTATTTTTATTATCTTGCACACAAAGAACCACTTTACCTGGCGTTGACAGTATTGATGCTCATTAAGGTCTGTTTAAAATGATCCGTTTTTAGCAGGTGGTGAATAACCAGCAGCTCCGACTGGTTTTCCTCTCACTGGTCTTACTGGTTTCTGATGCAGTTCAAACCTTCACAGTTTTCTTGTTTTCTACTTTGTGGTGAAAAGTTTCATCTCTAAATGGTCGATAGGTTTGTGGTCTGCTGCTTCGCTTCAGATAAATTCCCCTGGTATCTTTAGAGACTCAGTTTAAAGGTGCTGAGTTAAAAACGACCTGCTGACATGACGCTGTTTATCAAGTCCTGCTAAATAAAACGTTTAAATATAATGTGGCATGTTAACAACCGTTGTAGCAAACAGTGATGAATGTTTGCTTCATTTTACAGTGACTGACTCTGTGAAGATAAAAGATGTTGGTTTTCCACAGACAGAATCAGAACCAGAGGTAAAACTATGAATTTATAAACTATTTCCTGCTTCTTCATCCTGTGACAGAACAACTAATAGTGACTCAGAGAATCAGATGATCAACTCAGTTCAGTTCTGCATCAAACTGTGTTTCTTCTTACCAGATTTTATATGAATCTCTGCCTCCAGTGTCATAAACCTGTTTTATATTCTTTATATTCTTTATATTCTTTCTATTCTTTAT